GCGTACACAGGCTGCAAATCCTCCGTACGTCTCTGCAGTGGCTGCACGGAGATCCACCTCCGAGCCTCTAAACCAAGCCACGGGTTCCTCGCTTCCGCCTCAGTCCCCAGTCCTGCGTTAGCCGAGGTGCCGTCTTCTGAGCTTGTCCCCTTTCATGTCACAGGGAAATGGCAAAAGAAAGCCCATCAGCAGGATGTTCCCCTCTCTTTCTTTGTTGGTAGAAGATCCTGGCGTTGAAATACATGCTGTTTGAAGTGTGGTCGAACTCACCTTCTGGAGTCACAGCAGAAAGCCAGGCACTCTGGGTTTGTAGGATAGCTACAGGGAGCACAGAGCTGAAGACAGTGCCCTCTCCTCTTATCAGTGCTGCCTTCCAGCAGAAAAGGATGAACAAGAAGCTATAAAAGTAGCACAAAAGGTCAAAAGTACCCTGGCTTCCCACTGACGGCTAGCAAACAAGCGCCAAGGCCGAGGAGGTGAAAAAGTCTTAGCCGTTACTCTCCCTAAGCAGGAGAAGAAATTAAGCTTCTTAATTCTTCCGTATCCTTAACGGGGCAAACATTGATTCTGAACCTTGTGGACAGCATCCCTCAGAGAACCTGAGCGCTTGGGCCAATACAAATAGACTTAAGATTCACCACCTGTGAGATGACATTATTCTTCAACGTCTGATCAAGACTGGAACGAGATTAGTGCCCCATGGCATCTCCCGAGCTGCCGGACCAGTTGCCTCTGCTCCTGCTAACCCTGCGTGGCAGTCAGACCCAAGGCAGTGAGGGCAGGTGGGTTGCAAGTCATGCCTCCAAGATTCCAGGTGTCATGCCGACGACACCAAGCTGTGTGGAGCGATCAACACGCTGGAGGAAAGGGACGCCATCCAGAGGGACCTGGACAGGCTTGGGAGGTGGGCCTGGGCAAACCTCATAAAGTTCAACGAGGCCAAGTGCAAGGTCCTGCAGGTGGGTCGGAGAAATCCCATGCACAAATCCAGGCTGGGCGGAGAATGGATGGAGAGCAGCCCTGAGGAGGACTTGGGGGCGTTGGTTGATGAGAAACTCAACGTGAGCCGGCAATGTGCGCTCAGAAGGCCAATCGTAGCCTGGGCTGCATCAAAAGAAGCGTGGCCAGCAGGGTCAGGGAGGAGATTCTGCCCCTCTGCTCTGCTCTCATGAGACTCTGCCTGGAATACTGCGTCCAGCTCTGAAGCCCCCAACATAAGAAGGACATGGACCTATCGGAGCAGGGCCAGAGGAGGGCCATGAGGGCTGGAGCTCTCTGCTGTGAGGACAGGCTGAGAGAGTTGGGGTTGTTCAGCCTGGAGAAGAGAAGGCTCCAGGGAGACCTTATAGCAGCCTTCCTGTATCTGAAGGGGGCCTACAAGAAGGCTGGAGAGGGACTTTTTACAAGGGCATGTAGTGATAGGACGAGGGGGAATGGCTTCAAACTGGAAGAGGGGAGATTTAGATGAGATATTGGGAAGAAATTGTTGGCTGTGTGGGTGGTGAGCCCCTGGGGCAGGTTGCCCCGGGAAGCTGTGGCTGCCCCATCCCTGGAGGTGTTCAAGGCCAGGTTGGACGGGGCTTGGAGCAACCTGGGCTGGTGGGAGGTGTCCCTGCCCATGGCAGGGGGGTTGGAACTAGATGGCCTTTAAAGATCCCTTCCAATCTAAACCATTCTATGATTCTATGACTTGCCTGCACACAAGTGACACTGGAATTCATACCTCTGGCCTGAAAGAGAGGATGGAAAGATAGCAAGGAAGCTGTGGTGGGCCACCCATGAGGCATTAGCAAAACCAGAGCTCGCTGTGGAATTGGTAACATCAAGATGTTATATCCAACACCGTACAGAAACCAAAACCTTAATGTGAAAGAGATGGAAATTCAACAAAGCCAACAGTGGAGGACTCAGGGTTCAACCTCACCCCAAGTCCCCTTCTGCGTTACTTGTGCCATTCCCTACCTTCAACCCAGGGCACAGGACTTAGATCCAGGAGACAGATTTTGTGCTGGGAAGAGAGGACAGCAGGGAAACAATGGCATTTTGTCAGCTTTTCTGAACTGCTCAGGGCTGCCAAGTGAAGCACTGCCAACCTGAGAAGTTTTAATACTGGGAGGGAAGAGTTTTGCATGGAAGTAAAACAAACCAAACCAGTTCATGTTCCCTAATCTACGTATTTCAGTCATAAGTACCAAAGCTGCACGGTAATTGCTAAATCTGAACCTATACCCTGGTGGACAAACCAATGACTGGTCACTAGTCTAAGATTCACCTTCACATTAGTATTTAATACCCAGTGATCTTAGTTTTTACATAAATGTATTTCATTATATGTAGTCAAAATACGGACTTTGTATCTAAAATAATTTGACACTTGAATTAAAAATCCTGTATGAAAATTAACTTGGGCAGTAATTGTTCTGCAGAATCAGAATACATTACAGATAGAAGTTATCAGCTACGGGAAGGTCAAATTTGCATTCAGCTTATTAAAGAAAGATTTTATACAGGTTATGGGAAGGGTATCCATTCTGCTATTGTACCCATACACTTTCCCATTTCATTCAGGAAGACTTTATTGACAATTTAGCAAAATAAATTCATACCATCCAATAGAGAAGCTGCAAAGAAAACAGAGAACTAGATAACTAGTGGTATTAAAAGTCTTATCCTTTGAGAACTGTTTCAACAGCTACTTATTAAACTAATAAAAATGAAGAGTTTCAAATATTCTGCAGTATAGAATAGCTTTGAAGTTTCTGAAAATCCCAGTCCACACCTGCAACACAGGATCAAAACTCAGAAGAAACATCCATTTTTACTTTTTTTTTTAATAACCACTCACGTCTTTTGTTTTGGTACTTCACACAGAGAATGAAGTCACTTAAAATCTGTCCTCTTGTCCAATTCTGACGAGACTTCACTCTACGTGAAATACCCACTCGGGTTATGATGCAGTGGTATATCACAGCCTCAAGTTTTTTAGTTATTACTGTTTATTGTTGTCAGTGAAGAACAAGAATTATGCCTCGGAACACCAAATCTTCCATTTAATACAGAAGGAACTAGCCCCCAGGTTCCCAACACCACTTTTTATTACCAAACCTATTTTCTCACAGAAGTAGTCTTACAGCATGTAACCTGGCAATTAAAATCAGAGGCATAATTTATCTAGACCTCTGTTATACAACTAAGAATGTTCTCTAGAGAGCGTGCAAGTGAGGCTACAGCTACAGAAATGGCTTTATGCTTTGCCAATCTCATTAGGACAATCCCTGAACGGCTTCAGCATAAAATACAAAAAGGCAACGTTTGCTCCTTCGTAACGTATTAAATGGAGCTACCATCATTCACGATGAAGGCTGTGGGAGGTCTACAAAGCACATGTTTTATTAAACAACAGTATCTTATGCCTAAACGAACCGTCATACAAGATTTTCCTACTTCTCAAACCATCAGGGCTCCCACTGGCCCTGAAGGCCACAAGCTACCTGGTAGGCTTGGACACGGACTTCTGGAAACGTGTCAGCTGCACAGCAACTCCCTCAAGGAAAGAGAAAGTATAGAGCTTCATGAACATCATCATTCCTTTGAGCGAGGCAACTGCTCTCAAGTGCACACCCTCTAGTCTAAGTAAACATTAAGGATTCCTGCACAGATTCCAAGCCTTAATTACAAGCCAGCCTCCATGTTGTGGCAGGATAATTGGTGGACCCTGGAACTGAACATTTTTATGCTTGCTAACGCACTGAAACACAGTGCTAAGTTAACACATCTAATTATTCCATTATATAGGGAATAATTTTGCTAGTAATATACAAAACCAAGGGACAATTTAATAATAGAACCTTTAGTCCTGTCTATAATGTAACAAAGCAATGTAGAACCTTGTTTTAGCAACTCCTCTGATACAATTCTGCATACAAACTATTTGTGTTACTACATATATATAAAATATACATGGGATTATATACATACAGATATGTGCGTGCACGCATTTGCTCTGTGGAGACACCACAGAATGAATGTCTTCTACATCTTGCACTAGGCTGCTTTTCCTCCTACCATAAGACCAGCTGCCAAATGCTTTAGCAGTCACGACTCCATATGAGAAATTGCTCGATCAATGAAAAAGCAGTATCCCATTATGCGCTGAGTCGGTGAGGATGTACAGCTCCAGCTCTCTATTCATGATCCGCTAGTAAGCATATTTGCTTACATAACTAATAAACTCAAACAAAATTTCTTTCTTGTAAACACCAGATCAGTTCCGCAGTGTTTACTACTTTCACCAGTTCACTGTTCGCGAAGTGAGTTACCTTCATTAACACAACTGCTAAAACTTCTTCTAGCAGGTCAGAATTTTAAGAGCTGCCGTTCATCCCACAACATAAAACCTAATTTCGTTGCGCTTGCATCAGCTGAAAAGACATTTCACTGCTTTCCCTGATTCAAAAGCAACTCGTCATCTACCAGAAATAAATAGCTTAGGCTGTCCAAGAACGTTTGCTCACACTTTCAGTGCCTTCCAACAGAGTGGGAACACCAGTTTACACTGTCTCACTGTACAGTGGAAGCATTTTAAGCCATCCCATTCCTTCTTGACTGGTTTGCCCACATTCATTCACCGAATCGCTATCAGAAACAGTCCTCAGACCTGTGTTTCCCCAACTTTTTGGCTCATGTCTTAATCCCTTCAAACTAAACATCAAATCTGGATTATCAAGAATCCAGGAAGGTACGATCCTGCACCCACAAAGCTTCTTCAATAATTCCTCTTTTCTAAGGGGAAAGAAGTTCCAAGTTTGCTGCGAGGTCAGGGATGCTTCTGAACCTTAGCCAGTAAGTCAGCTCTGAGATGTTGCTTGGTGCGTACGGACTACCGATATCCCTCTGACACCCTTTGCAAAGGCTTCCCAGTTCCTAGGGAAGTCCTATTTCCACACCAGCACGCTAACAGAAGTAGTCTCAGGGCTGGTTGCAGCCAACACATTACTCACCTGTTTTACATTGTATCCTGCTTTTGCACTAGTTTCAATGAACATTACATTCAGCTCTTTGGCTTTTCTTTCTCCTTCCTCAATGGACACTTGTCTGGGGAAGATAACACAGAATTAGGAAAAAAGACAAGACAAACACCTTGAAAATGAAGATTTTTATCTTCAACCTAAGGAGGTGACCGCTTCATTACAGTTCTGAAAGCATTTAATGTTTTTTCTCAGCATACAGATGGCACATACTGAGCACAGCTGTAGACAAGTATCACCGTTTGATCATTATCAGATGGCCTTCGTTGGCACACCCAGCTCCCAGCACAGAACTCAGCTTTCCAGCAGAGCAGCTAAGTGGGCCAACTGGACTCCTCCAAATCCCTGTCCAGGAAGCTGTGCTTTTATGCCTGAACAATTAGCAATCAATGGATTTTAATATCCAATAACAATTGTCAACTTGCAGCCTACCAAAATATTTCAACGAAGGACCGAGCGTATATAAGGGGCTTATGTGTGCACAAACAATTCTTAATTGGGTGTTATAAATCTGAAGTAAAGGTCACAAGTGAAGCTATTCTGAGGAAACAGGGGTTTCAATCAAATCCAGAATACTTCCCCTTCATGCTTTTGTTTTACCTTTGTGACTTTTTACTCATTTGTGTTAAGAATAACATAAATCTAGAATAAACAGAGTACTCAATGCTGCAAAAGCTGAAGATGCGCAACTTCTAATAAAAACATTTAAGTTTGCCAACTTATGAAAACCCCTGAAGAGTTTTAAAAGGGAAGATTACTCGCACCTACCATTTTTGTCTTAGCAAATCTATTAAGCATTAATATTTGTAATGAGTTTAGCTTATTCATTCACTGATATAGCTTGTAGTTGACACTCCATTCTCTCCTGACATCTGAACAAGTTGGTGACAGTTTCTCAACTCATTCAACAGCATCATGCTGAAAATTGTGCTTAACCAAATGAAAGAAGTTTTAAAATTGAGATTTCTCTAGTCACAGCCACCTCCAGCATAGTTAAAACAAGCTTGAATATTTTGGGAAAAAAAAAATAAATACAAGTGCTCTTTTTAAAACAGTTTTCTAGGAGAAAACAGCAGCAGATTAAGAAAAGCATTTGAAAGATGAGTTATTCCTCCATACCTCTTATCTGCTAGATCTGTTTTATTTCCCACCAGCATAATGATGACATCGCTGCCCCTTTCCGTTCTGACATCATCAATCCATTTTGTTGTTTGCTGGAACGAGTTTACATCTAACAGAGAACAGTGGAGAGGATTATCACTGCAGGTATTCTTCACAGATCCCTGGTAAATACATCTGTAAGTCTCAAATAAAAGCTTCATATTCTCTGGAATTGGCATAATAGGGTGATGAAGAATCCAAGTGAAACCCTAACTCTCCCACAATGAAATCTATGAAAACCTTGGCATTGACTTAAAAATGGACCAGTACTTCATTACAGGTGAATTCAAAGCCAGGGAGTGAACTGAGCTGAGCTATAATTCAGTTTTGACAGAGTCTAAAATGAGAAGTCTTATCACTGTGTTTTAGACCAGTTCCCTTTTTTTTTTGTAGTTCATCGTATTTTAGATAGAGAATGGGGATTAACGTGATATTGCATCCTACACTGGTCATGACTTAGACATCTACAGCAAGAGGTTCCTACAGTTTCACCGCTTCTCAAGAGTACTTAATACCGGCTACACATTTCGTACAGCTTAATCACTTTTCACTTGCAAGGTTTAGGATTTTCTCTAGGAAATATCAGGGTTATGCAGCATCCTAGCAACTCCCGTATCATTGAGTGGCGAGTTCAAAATAGTTTCCAAATCATTTGCGTAGAACCAGAAACACAAACTTATCGTATCCACAGACACTTTTTCTTAATGATACGTCCTTAAAAGCTGCAAGGTAAGAATTTTAGGAAGATATCCTGATCTAATGAGACAGGATGTTGTTTGAAAAGTTGCATCCCATAAGGAAAAATGAGTCGTACAGAAGCTGCTACAGAGCTCGGGATTTGCCAGTTAGCCACACAAAAAGCATCTGAGTTGCCATTTGCCGTACTTAAAAAAGGGGGGATTCTGCAGCAGTTCTTGACAAATATTGATTTTTTTTTAATGGCTTCTACTGCATAGTAATATATCGTGTGCTAGACAGTCAAGACTTGATCACTTGCCAGCATCTTAATTCTTCTCTTTACTACCTGGTAATATTGAATTTGCTAGGTCAGTAAAAAAATTTCAAAGTTCACAGCTAATCTGTAAATTCAGCTCAAATGAAAGTGCTATTTTTAACAATTAAAGGTTTTAAAAG